CTTCCCCATTAGCAACAAACAAAAGGAGATAGCTAAGTCATCCAGATATAATCCAGAAAGTCAGTTTAAGAACTCAAGCCTCAGTGGATAAATATAAAATATAACAAGGACATACAACACCTCCATGGGGAAAGATTTAAGAAAACAAACCAAAGACTAGGTTGGTAGATGTGTGCCTGGCATACACAATGCACTGGGTTCCATGCTTACCCACACACACAGTCTCACAGAGAGAGAGAGAGAGACAGAGACAGAGAAAGAGAGACAGAGAGACAGAGAAAGAGAGACAAACACAGAGACAGAGAGAGACAGAGAGAGAGAGAGATTTAAGTTCCATGTGAAGAGAATGAAGACAGCAAATCTGGGACCAGGACCTGCCCCTGTAGTGGGCAGGGCTAGGAGGTGTAGGAGATGGTTGGGTCCTACAGGCTCCACTTGACTGTAACAGACAAAAGGCCATCCCAGCAGCCTGTTTCCCTCTCTTCTCCTCACGGCAGGGTCTGGGCAAACCCAGCCATCCTCAGCCAGGACTTACCACCCGTCCTTCCAGCACCATGACACCTGTGTCACCTGTCCAGCTCCTGCTGGTGCTCAGCCTAGCACCCCAGCTGGTGTCTGGAAGTCCCAAGCAATACTTTCTGAGTAGGTGCTGGGCTTGGGTTCCAGGGGAGGGAAGGGGTTCGCTCTGGTGGAAAAGAGAATGTCTCAGGGAAGACATGTAGAAAAGTTTGCAGTGAACAGAATTGTGCCACGTTCAAGGGTCCAAACTTTATAGTCTGACAAGTCAGGCTAGAATCTCTGCTCTGCTTCCTTATTGCCTGACTCCAAACCCTCCATATAAATGGGTTTGGGCTTTTCAAATGTAACCTAATAATATAAATAATGATGTAGAGACAGGAGGAGGGAGAAATGAACTGGTACATTCTCCATGGAGCACTCTTATTAGACCACGAGACTTCCCACAAAATATTAGTTACAAGAAATGTCAGCCTCATCCTCCTGATTAATTTCACTGTCCCTGGCTCCAATGGGGATGTTTGGTCCCACTTTACAAGCTTCAAGACAGACAGGAAAATGAAGTAGGTAGAAATCAAGATCCAGTTTGCGTAATGTTGGTCTTGGAGGATATGTGGGGAGGAAGGAAAGGGGAACCTTGCATTTTATTTCATTTTTGTTACATAAAATCCAGAGGCACTGCACTATCACCAGTGACTAGTATCCACAGACGAGTATAGATGAGAGTCTGTCTCATTGGCCACTGCTGCCCAGTTTAACCTGACCAGGGCAATAATGATTGTGGGCCACTACATGGTAGGAAGAATGCTATTATCATGTGTGCATTCTTCTATATTTGGGGCTCAGGAAAATGATATGACTGATAACTCATTTTTGGGGGGAGTCTCAGTTCTGTGTGCAGGGCTTCTGGGAGGAAAAGGAGAAGCCCAATCTTGACATCCCATTCTGAAATTCCTACCCATCTCATCACGGAAAAGGCCACTTTGAGAACTCGACTGAATTGGGTCCCAGTTCTCTGATCCAGCACTTGCAGTTTGTTGGGTTCATGAATACACCAAACTTAACTTCTGTTTAGTCTTCCTCCATACAATCAGCCTATGTTTGGTTGACTCTAGGCTAAATCGTTAAGTAGAGGTTGAAAGACTTTCTCAAGTCCACACAATAAGTTCTTATGGATTAGGTGTCCAATGCCACTTTTGTTCTGCTTTGTTTTGGCTTGCCACACATACATACACATTCATATCCTTGAAATGGACCCTACCCGGGTCTATAGGGACCGTGCATCTGATCTGCAGGGATCGTGAATGTACAATGAGTTCAGAGTTCCTCCAAATAGTCTTGAATCATATATCCATCCCTAATTCACTGAACAGAACTCAGAGGAAGACAGGAGCTAGAGGCAAAGCTGGCTTCCATCCCTGGAGAGCACACGGGAGAAACGGGGTGGCTGCCGCCTGTTCTTTCCACCACTCTTGCCTATTCTCCATTCCAGAGTACATCTTGGAACCTCCACCCTGCCGAGCCGAACCTGAAGACTGCAACACCTTTTGTACGCAGCAGGAGGAATGTCCAGAAAATCTCCAGTGCTGTTCTGCCTACTGTGGGATAGTCTGCTCCTCAAACAAAGCCCCACTGCCGAACACGTAAGGGTCTCCCTCCCAGCCCAAGCACCAGAGCTGCCGGCAGAGGCCAACAGCAGCGCCTCTGGTCCATGGCTGTGATGTCTCTTCCTCCTTTTTCCTTTAGTCTCATTATTGTCGTTATTGCTGTATTGCCAACATTATCTCTGTCTTTTCCAAGGAGGAGTTCCACAAAACTTCTAATTAAGAGAGATTCCTCAAATTCCACAAGCCTTCTCCCCTGCCCCTGCCTCTCTGAACATACTCGCAATTGCCTCTACCTCTCTTCTGAACGAACCCCTTTCCCAGACTCTGCCTTCATCCCAGTACCTGTCTGGAATGATGTATCTGGGCATACACATGGCACCAAATCCCCAAAACAAATGTGTTCAATTTTTGTTTCCCCTCCTTTCAGCAGACACTGTCCCTTGTTCCTCCATGTTCTCAGGCTCGGGAGGTCAGCGCCAGGAGGGCTATGGTTGACGGACTAGGCATGCGCATCAGCCTGAGTCTTCCAAAGGGAAGGGTTCTGGGGTGGAGAAAAGACTCCAGGGTGCTGATGAAACACCGTGGCCCCTCTCATACAGGCACGCCCGATGCCTTCGCTAAGAGAGCTCCTCTTTTCTTCTTCCTTTCTTTTTTTCTTCATGAGCAGATGAAGGTCCTACTTATCTCACAGGAAGAATCAGTGACCCACAGCGAGAGATTTAACCACTCAATGTCTTCAGAGAGGGTCCAAATGCCTCGCCCTTTGCTGTGTTCCCCACCCTGAGCAAACACCCAGCTGCATCTACTTATGTGCAGAGTGGTAGTGTAGATCTGGAATCAAATACCTGGGAGCCTGTCCTGGATCTACCATGTCTTAACCGGGTGATCTCAAATTAATTAGCCCCCCCCCGAATAAACTTTCCTCTCGTTAAGACAAGGATGATGACAATGGCACTAAAATCAAAACCACAAGTTATCTGGAAGCCGTCACTCGCCTCATAATTAATGCTCCATCCATTTGACTGGTCCCCTGACCAGTTCTCGCTGCAGAGACTAACCCGTGCAATTAAATGCCACACCTTTCAACGTTTAACGTTAGGCTACAAAGGCACAAAAAAGATGAACTGTGGTCGTTTAGTTCCCCCTCCTCCTCTGCTGCAGCAGAGCTCAGCTTCACGGTCTACTTTCAAGTGGGACTGATAGGAAGCAGGAATTACAGCGTTGAGAACAGACTGGCTGCCAATAGAGGTGCAAATATTTCTCTTCTACAGGTACAAGAGACTCAAGACTACTCCGGGCGCTTGACATTTGAGCCATGCTCGCCAGCGCACTGCATACGGGTAAGGTTCTCCTGGCTCCTTGTGGGAAACCTCCTCTTCCTCTCCCCGCATTCCCCCAAACCACCAGCATTCTCACTAGGCCAGAACAGCCTCCTTGGCGGTCAGATTGCCTGCTCCCCCATTCTTCACTTCACCAGGTCCATCTTTGAACTCGTTCCCTGGGGGCAGACGATGGTCTACAACAGAAAGAAGCAGAGCCGTGGCCTATGGGGACTGCAGGACCCTCAGACCTAAGGCTTTGCCAAGGAACAGGCTGTTCCAGCCTTCCCTGGGCAAGCACCATGGGCAAGAGGTCAGACTTCACGCTCTGTGAGTCATTGGTTAACTCACCGTGCCTCTCTGGGACAATTAACCTGCTCATGCGAAAGAGAAAGAGGCTCCCTGTGCCTTAGGATGGTGTGAGGATGAGACAAGGTTGCACAGATGGAAGGACACGGTCACCGAGGAGACCCTGCAAAGATGAGAACACACATGATGCCACTCTGACCAGGTTCTAGGTATTTGCTCTTTGGAAAGGTAGAAAGGGGGTCACCTTTATCATTTGACTGAGATTACAAAAGGTAGTAAATGAAATTCTGGTAAACAAAGTTCCCTGTCCCTCTATCACCAAAATAAAAATGGTGTTTATCATTTGGTGCATTTTGTTAAGAGCATTCCTTTTTTTTTTCTCATAATGTAGGAGCTGTGTAAGGAAAATGCTCAGTAGTTAAGATTGCTTGCTGCTCTGTCGTGAGAACCCGGATTTGGATCCCAGTATCTCGCAAACATCTGTTAACTCCAGCTCTAAGGGATCCAGCATCCTCTTCTGGCCTCCTCGGACACCTGCACACACATGGGTACATGCATGCATATGTGTGTGCAAGCACACACACATATAACAATAAAATGGATTTTTAAGAATTAAATGTACAAGTGTATGATCTGTTGGTGGTAGGATGTTCCCAGAGTTTTCAAATAAGAACAGTGGCATCTCAGCTCCAAGTGCTCTCACTGACCACGTACAGAGAGAATGTTATGTGAACGCAGGTAAGGTTAGCACAGCAGAGCAAGTGCGATAGCGCCGCCTTGACCCTTTCACAGCCCCTGCCAAGCCCAGCACTTCCTACTACACCAGGAGCATCACCCTGGCCATCAGCCAGCAGAGCAGCCTTCTAGATAATCCCAGGCTGTGCAGCAGAAAGACGTGGGAATAGAGTAAGAATCTCTGTACACTCTTGGGAATCAGTCCAGCTCGGCTCTGCTGATGTAGTTATGTTGGGCAATTCCCAATCCCCAGAGACATGGAGATGAAGAGCAATTAACTCTAGGGTGGATTATGAAGATCAAATGAGATGATGCGTGCAAACCCCTCACGAGGATGCTGGCAGAGTTCAAGGATGTTATTACTTGTGTCTAGTCAATCCGTTACTCAGAATTCTTGTTTTATAAAGAAATCACGGGAGGCCGGTGGGCATGAGTCTGCAAATTCAGTCTTGCCAAGACTGATGAACAAGCATGACAACCTGAGTTTTATCCCCCAGATCCTCCATGGTGGAAGAAAAGAACTAAGTCCCACAAGTTGTCATCTGACCTCCATGTGTACACTGTGGCGCGCGCGCACACAGACACACATACACACACACACACACACACCCCACACACACACCCCACACACACACCCCCCACACACACACACACCACACACACACACACCACACACACACACACAC